AGAGGTCATTTCCACTTTCCAATAAGCAAACGTGTTACAGGGCAATTCCCTGACTTGCCCGACACCACACAACTCACTAATGATGGAGCAGAACTGCCTAGAAGAGCTAAAGCTGTAAAGGAGAATGAAAAGTCCAGGGGCTCATGCGGTTCCCACCAAGACAGGGAAAAGCTAGGAGACAAATATCAAAAGAGCAATCTTCTGCATAAATGCCCCTCTTCTCTTCTTATAAACAGCCTGTGTGTCCCTCCTACAACTCCCAAAACTGTTTTACAATGTAATCCTTAAACTGAATTGAGAGGACAAGAATCATATTTATCCCCTTTCCCCCAATGGCCAACAATAGCACCAACAGGAACTCACAAAATACAGGCTAAATGACTAGACAGAGATGGACACTCACATGCAAAAGTGAACAAAGCAGCAAAATTGGGAGTTTCTTCCCCTGAAATGGGCAAATCTTAATTTTTTTGAGCATGTGAGTAGCACATAGGGCCAGCAGGTGGGGCCAGAGTAATAACTTTACAACCTTTAGACAGTGACATTTGAGCATTAAATAGATGAAAACAATAAACCATACATGGCACGAGTGACATTTTTGCCACTCACTAATTTTGTTGGGAAAAATCCCATTTCCATCTAGCTCACCTGTGACAGTAAGAGATTTGACACAGTAGAGGTTTTGTGCAGGTGCTTGATGAGGGCTACCCCAAAAAAACGAGAGGGAATGCTGAACAGCCCCAGCCTGAGTTGGCGGGGTTGCAGGAGTATGGAGAATCAGGTTAGCTGATTTGACCTCCAGCAGCTCGCAAGTGCTGTCCAGTGGCCCAGCCCAGTAGTCGGGCAGGAACCTCGTGGTATCAACCTATGTTTCACAACCTCCCACCCCAATCCCACAGGTGGGGCTACGGAACCAGTCCTAGAAACCTGGAAGAAGCCTGAGGTTTGTGGGACCTCCAATCCACGTATCCTGGCTGTGGATGGCTTATCCCCCAGCCATGTCAGCTTTTGACCTGCAAACCCAGCAGCTGTAATAAGTATTACTGTTCCAAAGAAAGGCTTCTCAGGATTAAGAAGTTTCACCAGCTGCCCAGAAACCAATAGTGATGAATGAGAGTTATAATTGGGCACTTCCCCAAAGCAAAAAATTAAAATTGTGAACTAACTTTATCAGATCTGAATCCTAGGGACACTTTAACTCAATTTCAGAAATAAGGGTCCTACATGACAGACACAGACCACATTTCAAATAAATCATTTTTCAAATGAAGGACAAAATAAGTGGCAATATTCAAGTGCTATAATGAAAAACAAAATTTTTAGTATATAACCATTGATTTTCTCACAAATAGAAAAAGGCCTGAACCCGTAAAATAGTTTAGATGGGATACAAAGCAGGGCTTCCAACATTTTTGTCTGTTAACTAAACTACAGGTAGGAATTATGAAAGGGTGCAAGCCAATGTGCATTCAGTGGGTCTCATTCTAGGCGAAGCATTATGCTAAGTGAAAGCCCTCTTCATAACTCCAGAAGATTCATATACAGTGCTGTAAAAAATAAAGTGGTTAGGTGTTTGGGTTAGGCTAAATAATCCTCCATCTATCAGTAATAAAAACCCATTTTCTAATCATGCAATTTAAAAAATTGCTTAAAAAAAAAAAAAAATCAAGCCCTGGCCTGTATTTCTCAGTGGTTAGAGCATAGGCCTGTGGACCCAAGTGTCTCAGCTTTCATTCCCTGTCAAGGGCACGTACCTCAGTTCCCGGTTTGCTCCCCACCCCAGGTCAGGGCAAGTGGGCACATGCGGGAGGCAACTAGTCGATGTGTCTCTTTCACATCCATGTTTCTTTCTTTCTTCCTCTCTCTATTCTCTCCCTTCTACTCTCTCTGAAAAGCAACGGAAAAAATATCTTCGGGTGAGGATTAAAAAAATTTTTTTTAAATCAAGGGGTGATTTCTAAATATTCTCCAATAAAAAGGAATCTTTGTTCCTTGGAGGGAAAATACAGAATTATCCAGGAACATCTTGTAGTTCCAGAAAGAAAGGGCTCCAAAAAATGTTGGGGAAGTCAAAAAGACAAGAGCCAACTTGAAGGAGCTCCCAAGCCGCGATAATTTGAGCAACCAAATAAATAGCACTGACCCGTGGGGAAAAAATATCCCTTAGTCCATACTGATATAGCTGAATAAACAAAAAGGGGAAAGAGGACAGCTTCTCCTAACAAAATTCCAACCACGCCCTGGCCAGTGTTGCCCAATAGTTAGAGCGCCTGCCTGGGCACTGGAGGGTTGTGGGTTCAAGTCCACTAAAGGGCATGTACCTAGGTTGCAGGTTTGATCCCCACCCGCCCCAGGTCAGGATTAAAAACAAAACAAAAACATTCTAATTAGTATAAATGTAGAAGAAATAATAAACATTTGGCAAATGCTACTTGTTGCAGGCAATAACAACCCAAAGGTCTCAAAATTAGTGAACCAAAGATTGATAATCTTAAAGTGTACTCCTCCATGAGTTACTTATTAATTACAAAGGAAAAATCAATAACTTTACAGTGGAGAAATCCAGCAGACACTACCTTAACCAAAGGTCAAAGTTAACATCACCAGTAATAAGACATGGACATCATGTATCCTGATATAATGCATTAAGAAGGGTACATGACTTCTTACATTCTTGCCAAAAAGTAACTTAATAATGAGAAAATCAGACAAATCCCAGGAGCAGTCCATAAAATAACTGGCTAGTACTCTCCACAAAAGTCAAAATCATAAAAGGGGAAAATTAAAGAACTCACAGGCTAGAGGCTAGAGACAACTAAATGCATGTGGGATCCTGGATTGAATGCTGAGCCAGAAAAAAACACAAAAAGACATTCCTTGGACAACTAGCACAATCTAAATAATATCTGTAGATTAGTTAATAGTACTATATCAATGCAATATGTTAACATTTGGAAGAAGCTGCATTAAGATTATATGAGAACTCTCCATATTCTTTTTGCAAAAGACTAAAATTATATTATAAAAGGACTGTGGCCCTAACAACCAAAGACCCGCGCGGGTGGGCAGGGCTGCGAGCACGGTGAGCCCACGCGGGTGGGCGGGGCCACGCAATTTCACGCATTGGGCTTCTAGTTCCAAAATAAGATTTTAAAAATGGAACATGCTGGGGGAAGATAGCCAATCAAATGTAACTAAGATTAAATTGAGTGAGTGTGATACATTTTGTTAACATTAAAGGTTAAAAATGCTTTGAATTGCCCTAGCTGGTTTGCTCAGTAGTTAAAGCTTCAACCAGCGGACTGAAAGGTACCTGGTTTGATTCCAGCCAAGCTGCAGACTTGATCCCCAGCTCTGGTGCGGGAGGCAACCAATCAATGTGACTCTCTCACATTGATGTTTCTCTCTCCCCCTCCCCTACCCCCACAACCCTACCACTCTTCCTAAAAATCAATGGAAAAACATCCTCCGGTGAGGATTAACCAAAAAAAAAGCTTTTGAACTGACATGGATCATACATGGTGAGACTATTTTCCCTTGTCTTCGACAAAGGAGAAAAGTAAACAAACATAGCTATTCAAAGTCACAAATGATAAGAGAACAAAGCATTGAGAACAAAGAGTCAAAAGTCAACGATTTCCACTGGCAAAACTCATTAGCAAATAACAGAACTAGTTTAGCTGCACTTTCGGGTCTTCACCAAACCAATTTTGGCCTAACTCTTAGAGTGAACACAGTCTAATTTTTTATACTACAGAAAATGCCAATATGGTTTTGGGGTTTTCCAATACACAAATCCAACATCCTGACAGCCTCCCCTCCTCCCCCAAACTCTCAGGGAGCGCTAGGGGCTCCAAATCCAAATCCCTTTCATATTGCACCCAAAACCATACCAGTATTTTCTATGTGACATGAAAGATTGGGAAGCATTGACTTAAACTAAACATTTCAAATTGCAAAAAAAGTATCTTGAATGATCTGACATCCAACCTGAATACAAGGTAGGAAAATCTAGGTAAAATTCCTTTTGAATTTGTTTTTCTCGGGATATTTTCCTTTTGGAAGGTGAAATGCTAAACAATTAAGTCCATGGGAGTCCTCTAAAAGTCACAGACAGTTGAGCTAAAATTGAACACATAGTTCTAATTTGGAAATTGGGCATCTTCAAATGGATGAAAGCACAAAGGACTCCACAATATTGAGGAAACTATTTCAAAAAGCTTGGAAAATTAGAATTATCTAAGTATATTATACTGTGCCTCAGACAGGCAGAGAAAAGCTCTCAATCTCAAGAGCCAACTATAATGCTAATTATAAATCAGCAGTTATTAATTTTATCACACCTTGATTTAGTAGCCTGGGCTGTGTAGACTAGGATAAATAAGTCATTTGAAGGCAAAACATTATCCAACAGTATTAAAACCCATTTTCAGAACCTTTTCTTATTACAGAAGTTTTTACACATTTAACTCCCAACATTGGGACATCTTAAGTGCTAAAAATCTTTAAGGCAGAAAAGCCCAAAACCTTTGAAAATAAACAAAATTAATCAATTACCATTACGACTATATTGTTCACAAAGACCCAAACCCACTGGAATTTATTCTTGGACCTGCATCCATGTGGATGGAATCCTGTCTAAATCCTGTATTTCAGATTAAAACCTTACATCCTTGATACTGGGCTCTTTCAGGTTTCTACAGGTAAAGCACAGTGACTGGCATCTAAGAAGCACTCACAATCAAATATTTGTTGAATGACTTAGCAGTGGTTCTGCCTTCTCTGGGAAGTATCCAGAAATAAATCTTTATAAATTCTGGCCCACCTTGCTTTGCAGATGTCATTGTTATCTAGCCCTGGGTACAAAAGCAAACCTGAATTATTTCACCTCAGCAAATTTTCTTAAAATAGTTGATGTCTCATTTCTTCAAACTCCTTACACTCCAAATCTTTCATAAAATATACCAGACTCAAATAATACTAATAAATGGTACTAAAAGTGATGCTCAACAGGATCTCACGTTTATTGAGAAGTGATTAATGGTAAAAAGAAAGGCAATGCCCTTTCCTCATTGGATGAACAAGAAACTGAAGAAACATTCACTACACGTTTTACAATATTTTTCTCTTCCAAAATGCATTTCTGTAAACAAGTTTTTACCACTGTTCTCAGCTGTGAAATAAAATTAATCCTGACTCAATCAGTAAAATGTACAAGAACAGAACATTTCTTAGGAATCCTAGTACTTTACTTTGAGTAACAAAGGGTCAGAGAAAATGAACCACCCTTAAAGACACAACCTTGGGTAACACTGTTAAATTCTCCAACACAAAAATTCTTCATAAAAATGTTCTTCCAGTTCGGAAGGGAAAAACCAAATTCCCCCTTTCTGGGGTGGAGGCAGGCCCATACCTTCAAAACTCAGATGTTCTCCAAGTGCAAATGTCAAAATGGGGGGGGGGGGGGCGGAGGAAAGGGTTTAAAAATTAGAGAAAACTGTATGCACTTACGGACTTTAAAATCCGAAAACATAGTAAAAAGACAAAGAAAAAAAAGCAGTATGCTCTGAAATCACAACCAAAACCAAAATAAAAGGGACATTTTTCACCTACACTACCTAGAGGGATTTTTTTAGGTTTTTTCTTTTTCTTTTTTTTCCACTTTCCAGTTAAGTCCTATGTCTTTTGTGAAATTCCAATACTTAAACTGCAATTCTGTAATCGTCTCTGAAGTCAATGAAATTAAGAAAAAAGTCCTAATTTTCTTGAAGGTCATTTTTTTCCTCTTAGGGATATGCAGATGAAACCGTTGCTGTGGTCTGTGCAGAACTGCCTTTTATTTTCCACGGCCTTGACGTTCCTAGAGGTTAAAACAAATTTGAAATGGTTAGTTAAAACTCATCTGATATGCTTAAGAATTAAACTTCACAGAATAACTCAATACAAATTTAGTTATTTGTGTTAGGTAGAATATTCCCCACCAATAAAAACGGTCATTTGTTCATTCTGACCCAAGGATATTTTTTTCCATTGATTTAGAGAGTGGAAGGGGGGGAGAGGGGGTGGAGGGAGAGACAGACACATTGATTGGTTGCCTCCTCCAACCCAGGTACGTGAATGGCAATCAGTATGCTGGACCACTGAACCACACTGGCCAGAGCAAGAAAAACCGACTTTTACTTCTTATATTTTAAACCAAAGTAGTAACACTCAAGCATTCCAATTAATACAAATTTTTATTTCACTCTAAAATTTCTTACATGATGCCCTAGCCAGTTTGGCTTAGTGAATAGAGCATCGGCGCACAAACTGAAGAGTACTGGGTTCAATTCCGGTCAAGGGCATTACCTCAGTTGCAGGCTTGATCCCTGACCCAATCCCAGTGCATACAGGAGGCAACCAATCTCCCCCCCCCCCCCCCCCCCCGCCCTACTCTCTCTAAAAAATCAATGGAAAAATACCCTCAGGTAAGGATTAAGAATGACAACCAAAAAAAAGGTTAAAAATAAATAAATAACAGTTCTTACATGATTGATTAAAATATAGTATACTGGCCAGCGTGTCTCAGTGGTTGAGCATGAACCTATGAACCAGAAGATCAAGGTTCGATTCCCAGTCAGGGCACATGCCCAGGTTGCAGGCTCAATCCCCAGTGTGGGGCGTGCAGGAGGGAAGTGATCAGTGATTCTCTCTCATCATTGATGTTTCTCTCTCTCTCTCTCCCCCACTCCTTTTCTTTCTCATATCAATAAAAATATATTATACTAAAAAATATATATGATCCTAAAAAACAACAACAACTAGCCGTATTAGTCATCCCATTTTAGTTCCAGAGTTTTAGATATATTTATAAGCCTCAATTTCCTTTTTTGTAAAGTGAGGATATGTATCTCTCACAGAGCTGTGGGAGATAACGAGCTAACATATAGAAAGCTTTTAGATCACAGCAGGCAAGAAAATTATCCTCTTCCCCTAGAACAAGCATGTCAAACTCAAAGGCTAACACGGGCCAAATAAACAAGGTTTAAGTTTATGTGGGCCGCAAAAAAACAAAAGCTTCAATTTTCATAGAAACGTGGGTTTATTTCGATAGAGACATGCTGAACACAAAGGGCTGAAATGAGTAATCGTTAATATAAAATAATAGAACATTTTAATAAAAATTAATATTTTTTCTTGAACATTGACTTACCAGACACTGAATAACTGCACAAATTAATAAGCGTAATGCAAATAAACCTAATTTTCTTCTCTGAAATCGAAATATTTCCTGTTGCGCACACCAAACCAGTCAGTACAAGACTAATGATGTGGCTATCAGCTGCTAAAATATTCGCTGCTGGTATTAGTGGAGAGAAATGGTGCGCCTGCGCTTCAGTGTCGTAAGGGAAATGAATGCAACACGATTACATTAATCAGTCATTAGCAAATGCTGTAGTTCATTATTAATAATTATGTATAACAGGATCTTGTAAAAATTAAGTCACGAAATTTTTATTAAAACGTTTCTTAAATTGGCTGGGCCGCCAAAATATATTCATTGTGGGCTGCATGCGGCCTATGGGCCTTGAATCTGACATGCTTGTCCTAGAGCAGTGGTTCTCAGCTTTCTGGCCCTTTAAATACAGTTCCTCATGTTGTGACCCAATCATAAAATTATTTTCGTTGCTACTTCATAACTATAATGTTGCTACTATTATGAATCGCAATGTAAATATCTGATATGCAGGATGGTCTTAGGCGACCCCTGTGAAAGGGTCGTTCGACCGCCAAATGGGTCGCAACCCACAGGTTGAGAACCGCTGCCCTAGAGTTTAAAATCCACTTAGAGATGGATTTTGACAACTGATTGTAATACCGAAGTTTTTCCTGAAATAAATCTAAATGCTCATTTATTAAGAATCATAAGCCTCTCATAAACCTATTCTAAACAGCTTTCCATGTCACACACTACTCATTTATTGAAAAATTTTAAAATATGACTCAATCCACGTGTCTTTTAAAAACAAAAGCCTTAACTGGTTAGGAGCACAGGCCTGAACTTACACTTTATTCATCAATCTAACTTGAGTAGAGTCACTTGCTCCCATTTACACTATGGTAACTACAGTTCTTAAGTTAAATATGATCCCTACTAAAAAGAATAGCAACTAGTATTTATGGACTTCCATGCTCCAGAAACTGTACATAATAATGATCTTCGTAACCACCCCACAAAGACTGTATTATTCCTACTTTAGATATACGAAAAGGAAAGCTCAAAAAGATGCTTAACTGAAGTTACTTAAGAACCAAGATTCAAACCTAGGGCTATATGGCTCTTTCTCTACACCATGTTGTTACAAATATTTATGTTAAAGTCAACAAAAGTAACTGAGGCTTTGTGATGAATTGACTACCCTAAAACTAAACTGCTCCATGAATATAAATATGGTAAAATTATGTATTCAGAAAGAGCAGTTATCTTTTTGTGATGTCCCACTTCACATCTCTGGATTTCAGGGATAAACTCACCAAAGATCTGGGATATTGTTTTTTAAATTTGGATGGACACCATTTATCTAACTTCTCTTCTATTAATGATCAAGATCTACCTTTGACTTCAGGAAATCTGGACTCTTCTTGATTAAATCTCATTCCTATGCTTTTATTACTCTTCAAGCCAAGAATGTCTAGCCTTCTGTCCTTCAAGATACAGTTCAAAATCTCTTCCCTTCTTTGAGATTTCCTTAGCCCTTGCAGCTTTCAATGTCCTTCCAAATCTGTATCCACAATTGAAAATTAAATGTAAAATTAGCCCCAACTCAATCAAAAGCTCCCAGAAAGCAAAGAACAGGTCTTCAATTAACCTCACTCACAAACTATTTATGAGTTTAGCAATGGATAGTAAGTTACAATCAATGTCTAAATAAAATTCTAGTTCTCATCACATACACAAAAATTGTAACTTTGTTAAATGATGGATATTAACTAAAAACTGTGGTAATCATTTCTCTCTGTGTACATATCAAATCATTATGTTATATACCTTAAATTAATACAATGTTATTATGTATGTCAACTGTATCTCAATAAAACTGGAAAAATATTTTGCCTATTATCTTATTTCAATGTAATATAACCCCAGGAATACAAATAAACTTATATGCCCCAAATTATACTGATAAAAAAGAAAACCTAGACTTTGCCAAATCCATAAAGAAACATGTTTCTATATAAGTTCACCAGCATGCTTAATTAACAGCCATTTAGAATATAATCAGAAGAAATTCAAAATAGCATTGTGTAATTGCACATACTATGTCAACTCATTTTTTAAAAAATTTGTCCCTTTTCATGTGCTACCAAGTCCACAACTACCTGTGCTCAATTTTGCCTCAAACGTAACATAAAACTAACTACACCCGAACCTTAACTATACAATGATACCAAGAAGGCAAGTATAACCTGTGCCCTAATGTAAACCTGTATGTTAGGTTTATTTTAAATTATGCAAATTACATACAAATGGCATTAGCTGCCTTAATCTCTTGCCCAATACCAAGTAAGCATCACACTGGTACAATTAAGCAGACTGACTAAATTGCTCTTCAAATCCTATATATACTATGTACTTTCCTATACATAGGTAGCTTTCACTCAAAGGAAGCACTTTACCACTTCCCTTTGACATATCCAAATTGCCACCATCACTGTTCTTGCACTTTTGGCCACTACTTTTTTCTTAATATATTTTTATTCATTTCAGAGAGGAAGGGAGAGGGAGAGAGAGATACAAACATCAACGATGAGACAGAATCACTGATTGGCTGCCTCCCACAGGCCCCACACTGAGGATCGAGCCAGAAACCTGAGCATGTGCACCCTGACAGGGAATTAAACTGTGACCTCCTGGTTCCTAGGTCAATGCTCAACCACTGAGCCACGCCGAGCTTGAGCCACTATTAAGTAAGGGTGACTTGAACACAGGTGCTGTGATACCACAACAGCTGATCTTTTTTTTTTTAATTTTTAAATTACAGTTAACTTTCAATATTATTTTATACTAGAGGCCCAGTGCACAAAATTCGTGCACGAGTAGGGTCCCTAGGCCTGTCCAGCGATCAGGGCCAATCAGGTTCCCTGCCTCCCTGCATCCTCCTTCCCTCACTCCCTCAGTAACCCGCTGCCGCCGCTGGTCGCCTGCCATGTTCCACGCCGCCCCCTGGTGGTCAGCACACGTCATAGAGAGCGAGCAAACTCCCAATCTCCTGGTCGAACTCCCAAGGGAACACTTTGCATATTAGCCTTTTATATAGAGAGATTATATAGAGAGATTAGGTTCAGATGTATGGCATATTAGTTATATAATTATATACTTTACTAATTGTTCCCCAGATATTTCCAGTACCCACTTGGCACCATATATAATTATACACTGTACTTTATATCCCCTGTGACTATTTTGTAACTACCAATTTGTACTTAACCCCTTTACACCCAGTCCCCCCACCCCCCTCCCCTCTGACAATCATCAGTCTATTCTCTGTGTCTGAGTGTTTCAATTTTGTTTTTATTTTATTCTTTAGAATCCACATATAAGGGAAATCATTATGGTATTTGCCTTTCTCTGACTTATTTCACTTAGCATAATAACCTCTAGGTCCATCGGTGCTGCAACAGTACTAAGTGGCTAACGTGTGTGTATTGGGGTATTAGCATACACAGCATGGATAGGCTGGACAAAGGGATGATTCATATGTCCTCCAGGATGGAGTGGGGCAGCATGAGATTTCATCACACCACTCAGAAGAGTGGCATGAAATTTGAAACTTATGAATTTTTATTTCTGGAATTTTCCATTTAACATTTTTGGACTGT